ACATACCTCAATATCATAAAAGCCATCTATGAAAAACCCACAGCAAATATCATTCTCAATGGGGAAAAACTGAGAGCTTTCCCCCTAAAGTCAGGAACATGTCCACTCTCACCACTGCTATTCAACATAGTATTAGAAGTCCTAGCCACAGCAATCACACAACAAAAAGAAATAAAAGGCATCCAAATAGGCAAAGAAGAAGTCAAACTCTCACTCTTTGCAGATGATATGATACTGTATGTGGAACACCCAAAAGACTCCACCCCAAAACTGCTAGAACTCATACAGGAATTCAGTCAAGTGGCAGGATATAAAATCAATGCACAGAAATCAGTGGCATTCCTATACACCAACAAGACAGAAGAAAAAGAAATTAAGGAGTCGATCCCATTTACAATTGCACCCAAAACCATAAGATACCTAGGAATAAATTTAACCAAAGAAGCAAAGAATCTGTACTCAGAAAACTATAAAATACTCATGAAAGAAATTGAGGAAGACACAAAGAAATGGAAAAACATTCCATGCTCATGGATTGGAAGAAGAAATATTGTGAAGATGTCAACGCTACCTAGAGCAATCTACACATTCAATGCAATCCCCATCAAAATACCATCCACTTTTTTCAAAGAAATGGAACAAATAATCCTAAATTTTGTATGGAACCAGAAAAGACCCTGAATAGCTAGAGGAAAGGTGAAGAAGAAAAGCAAAGCTGGCAGCATCACAATTCCAGACTTCAAGCTCTATTACAAAGCTGTAATACATCAAGACAGTATGGTACTGACACAAAAACAGACACATAGATCAATGGAACAGAATCGAGCCCAGAAATGGATCCTCAACTCTATGGTCAACTAATCTTTGACAAAGCAGGAAAGAATGTCCAATGGAAAAAAGACAGTCTCTTCAACAAATGGTGTTGGGAAAATTGGACAACCACATGCAGAAGAATGAAACTGGACCATTTCCTTACACCACACACAAAACTAGACTCCACATGGTTGAAAGACCTAAGTGTGAGACAGGAGTCCATCAAAATCCTAAAGGAGAACACAGGCAGCAACCTCTTCGACCTCAGCTGCAGCAACTCTTCCTAGAAACATCACCAAAGGCAAGGGAAGCAAGGGCAAAAATGAACTATTGGGACCTCATCAAGATAAAAGCTTTTGCACAGCAAAAGAAACAGTCAACAAGCCAAAAGACAACCGATAGAATGGGAGAAGATATTTGCAAATGACATATCAGATAATGGGCTAGTATCCAAAATCTATAAAGAACTTCTTGGGCGCCTGGGTGGCTCAGTCGGTTAAGCGACTGCCTTCGGCTCAGGTCATGATCCTGGAGTCCCGGGATCGAGTCCCGCATCGGGCTCCCTGTTCAGCAGGGAGTCTGCTTCTCCCTCTGACCCTCCCCCCCTCTCTCATTCTCTCTCTCTCAAATAAATAAATAAAATCTTTAAAAAAAAAAAAAAGAACTTCTTAAAACTCAACACCCAAAGAACAAAAGATCTAATCAAGAAATGGGCAGAAGACATGAACAGACATTTTTCCAAAGAAGACATCCAAATGGCCAACAGAGACATGAAACAGTGCTCAACATCGCTCGGCATTAGGGAAATCCAAATCAAAACCTCAATGAGAGACCACCTCACACCAGTCAGAATGGCTAAAATTAACAAGTCAGGAAACGACAGATGTTGGCAGGGATGTGGAGAAATGGGAACCCTCCTACACTGTTGGTGGGAATGCAAACTGGTGCAGCCACTCTGGAAAACAGTACGGAGGTTCCTCTAAAAGTTGAAAATAGAGCTACCATACGACCCAGCAACTGCACTAGTGGGTGTTTACCCCAAAGATACAAATGTAGGGATCCGATGGGTACGTGCACCGCGATGTTTATAGCAGCAATGTCCACAATAGCCAAACTATGGAAATAGCCAAGATGTCCATCAACAGATGAATGGATAAAGAAGATGTGGTGTGTGTGTGTGTGTGTGTGTGTACACACACACACACACACACACACAATGGAATAATATGCAGCCATCAAAAGGAATGAAATTTTGCAATTTGCAACAACGTGGATGGAGCTGGAGAGTGTTATGCTGAGCGAAATAAGTCAATCAGAGAAAGACATGTATCATATGACCTCACTGATACGAGAAATTCTTCGTCTCAGGAAACAAACTGAGGGTTGCTAGAGTGGTGGGGGGTGGGAGGGACGGGGTGGCTGGGTGATAGACACTGGGGAGGGTATGTGCTATGGTGAGCGCTGCGACTTGTGCAAGACTGTTGAATCACAGATCTGTACCTCTGAAACAATACTTTATATGTTTAAAAAAAAAAAGGAGAAGAAGAAGATATGAGGGGAAGAATGAAGGGGGTAAATCGGATTGGGAGATGAACCATGAGAGATGATGGACTCTGAAAAACAAACTGAGGGTTCTAGAGGGGAGGAGGTGAGAGGATGGGTTAGCCTTGTAATGGGTATTAAGGAGGGCACGATCTGCATGGAGCACTGGGTGTTATATGCATACAATGAATCATAGAACACTACATCAAAAACTAATGATGTAATGTATGGTGATTAACATAATAAAAAAAACAATAAAAATACTATTAATAAATCCTCAGAGAGACAATGATGAAATACCAGAGCAAAGCAGCTGGAACTTGAAAGGTAAAAATCTGGAGAAAAAGATAAGGTCAACACTCACCTCTGTTTTCTCCCTTGTGATGACTGCCAGTTCTAGAGCAGGGAATAAGGATGGGCATCAAGACTAGCAGAAAGTGGTGACCTGGAGCTTGCGGAAGTTTCAGTAGACTAGGTAAAAATACAAACTTCAAATTTTGGGCTGCCTAAGCAGCTGGGAAACAAGGGGCCAAGATTCCAGAAAGGAAGGAATTGAGAAGTTGAGCCCAAATTTGTGTGTGCAATTCCCCTTAAGGTATTTGTGGGCCCAGAAGCTGTACGTGCCTAGGTCTGAGAAACCAAGTAGACAGCCTGGTGAAAATGCCAGGGAGCTGAGTGAAGACACCTGCAGTCTTGGAATGCTGACACAGACACTGCCATTCAAAGTTCACCCAGGTGGAGGGTCCAGGTAAACATCCCAGGCTATCAGTTGAGAGAAAGAAGGGCTATGATTAAGAACACAGGCAAAATGAAAGGAAACCAGCCTCAACAAAGAGTGAAGCAACACTTCAAGTTAAAGGTGATCTGCTGTACTCGTATCTGCCCAACAGAAGAAATTTAGGTTCTTTCTGAAAGAATAAAACATCACTTAGTGGCTTTATACCTTTTTTTTTTTAAAGATTTTATCCACCCATTTGACAGAGAGATAGTAAGAGAGGGAATACAAGCAGGGGGAGTGGGAGAGGGAGAAGCAGGCTTCCCGTTGGGCAGGGACCCTGATGCGGGGCTCGATCCCAGGACCCTGGGATCATGACCTGAGCTGAAGGCAGACGCTTAACGACTGAGCACCCCAGGCGCCCCGAACCTTTACGCTTTTTAATATTCTATGTCCAGCATTTAATCAAAACTGCCGAAAGACAAAACTAAATGACTAAAAAGAAAAAGCAGAGCCCAAGAATAATCCTGATATTGAAGTTTGCAGAAAGACTTTTAAATAACCAAGACTCTCTGGGGACTTGCTGCACAATACAACACATGTGGTTGACAATATTGTACTGCACATCTGCAAAATGTTGAGGATGAATTTCACTTTCTTTTTTTTGACACACGCACACACACACACACACACACACACACGCACACAATCAAAAAGCAAAAGCAAGCTCTTGGAAATTAAAAATGTAATAGCAGAAATAAAAACTCAAAAGAAGGGCTGCGAAGACAAAACTGAGGCAATCTCCCAAAAGGCAGAACTAAAAGGAAAAAGCGGTAAAAATGGGAGAAAATATATATATAAGAAAAGTCATTGTATATTTCAGGAGGTCCAATCAACAGAAGAGTGAGAAGAATTTCAGGAAGAGAAAACCAAGAATATCAAAGAACAAATCTGATTTCCTAGAATAAGATACATATTTCCAAATTTTAAAAAATCCATCAAGTACCTAGCACAATGGATAAAAATTAGCCCACATCTAGGTACCTTAGTGGTAAATTTCAGATGATGAGGGCAAAGAGGACATCTTAAAGGTTGCTAAAGACAAAATACGGGTCACATATAAAAGATAAAAATCAACTGTGTTGGAAGTGAGAAGACAATGAGGTCACATGGATTAAAGACATTTTTATATATACAAGGTCTTAAAAAGTCTCATCTCTTCTGTGCCTTTCTTTTCTCCTACAATAGTGGCTCCAACCATAATGAAGGAGCAAACCCAGGATTCAGAGCCAAGAAAAAAGAGAAAATGAAGGGGATCCTTCAGGATGCTCATGAAGCAAAGTCCACAATGACAAATGTGCTGGCGGCTCAAGATACCAGTTTGGACTAAAGCCAAATAAGACTCTGGGAATATTTCCAGAAGAGATGAAACTGCAGAATACCTAATGTGTTTGAAATTACTGAGGGTAGAATTAAGACCAATGGAGAAGAGTTTCAGGATGGATTGATAAAGTCATAGAAAAGTTATCAAACAAGATCATTATCAGTTAAGAAAATACATAAATCAAACAAGGAAGGAAAAGTAGTTGTATCATATGTCTACGCTGGGAATAAAAGTTATATAGTGATTATAATGTAAATAAATCATTTAAACAAAGCCAGGTAGACACAGTAGGTTGCAAATATAATAGATGATGCGTAAAGCCAAAGAAAATAACAGCAGTATAAGCATGTTATTTAGAGACACAGAGTTAAAAAACAAAATAAACAAGGCGTCTGGGGCTGGTGGGAGAGGAAAATGACCATTATTTCTCATAATAAGCCATGCAGAACAATTTGCCTCTATACATGCACATAAAATTTTGGTTAAAATAAAAACTAAATTAGAAAGTAAAATAGTAAGACTGATAAAGCTTTTCTTGTTTCTTACCTGGATCTCCCAGCTTGTGGGACATTTCATTTAAAGTCTCAATTTCCTCTTCTTTGGGAGCATGAATGACCATAACTGTAGATCCTAGAATACTTAGCAAACATCCAATTTTCCCATGAAGATTAAGTCTTTCATTTAGGAAGTATGAAGAAAGAATGGCACTAAAATGGGGAAGGGGGTGGTGGAGAACATTAAAATAACCACTTTTCTCATTTTTATGTATTTATTTTTTTTTTAAAAAGATTTTATTTATTTATTCATGAGAGACAGAGAGAGAGAGAGAGAGAGGCAGAGGGAGAAGCAGGCTCCCAAGGAGCGGGGAGCCTGATGCAGGACTCGATCCCAGGACCCTGGGATCATGAACTGAGCCAAAGGCAGATGCTTAACCATCTGACCCACCCAGGCGCCCACTTTTCTCATTTTTAAATATCAACAAAACAAAGAATTTAAATTATTAAAAAACTAAAACACTGTGAACTTGTAAAGATACTTTGGCTTTCAGACAAGGTAAAGAAAAAGCACACTCAAGCATAAAATTAAACTTTCCAGCAAAACAATGGTTTCTTCATACACCAGTTTAGTTACCATATTTCTACCGTAGAAAATCAGTATGAAGTTTACAATAAATGGAGCTGCGGTACAAATTTATAACCTAAGAATCCATGTCCAAACCAATGCTTAAAATTTGCTCAACTTTATCCATACTGGTTGATGCATCCTTCCTATGTGTTCATGTAATTCTATATAATTTGTCTATTAAATTATCAAGTTTTATTACTTTATAACCAGTTTTAACCAAATCTAAAAAATATGTAAACCTATAAATATGACATAGCATACAGAAAATTAAGGGTAAAAGGCGTACCACAATGTATCTTTATATATACAGATTATATAGTATCTTGAAAAACACACACACTATCTTGGGGGGAAACAAAGATTTAAAAAAACCTATCAATCAATCAACTTTGAGAATAGTAACCAAAACCCAAACTTCAATATGGGCTTAGCTGTTTGGGCTAATCATTAAAATGACAGATGAGGTCAGTCTTAAGAGGCACATAACCTTGCACCAACCATTGATTTTCTGTAGGTATAGAAACTGATTTATCACCAACCATCATCTACCAAAGTGTACATGTCTCAAATGATAAGTGTTGTGACAAGTCCAACTTGAAATTTTAAAAAATTGTAATAAAAGTAGAACTATTGCTGGCTCTGAATAGAAGCAAGACAAAGCATAGAAGCATTTTCTCCTACAAATTGACAGCATGCCCATGCACAAAAGATAACCCTTTAAAAGCAAATTACTAAGCAGCTAAAAAAAAAAAGTTCTCTAGATTGTTTAAATGTAAATTATGCTGAGCATGTGTAATTAGATGGCACTGAATGCTTTATGGGCTAATCTACTAACTACTATTCCTACACACGAAGCATAGCATCCTTACCTTACTAGTACGCTGAGAGCTCCTAACGGAGTCACTAGGGTGGCTGGTGCAAAGGCATATGCAGCAAAGTTGGCCACCTCACCTGCTCCCACTTGGAGATAGACAACAAAAGAAAACTCAGAACAAATCACTCAAAATGGAAATGCCGAATTTCATTTTCATATACAGTTGACACTTGAACTTATTTTTTTAAATATTTTATTTATTTGACAGAGAGAGAAACAGCAAGAGAGGGAACACAAGCAGGGGGAGTGGGAGAGGGAGAAGCAGACTTCCCACAGAGCAGGGAGCCCAACGCAGGGCTTGATCCCAGGACCCTAGGATCATGACCTGAGCCAAAGGCAGACGCTTAATGACTGAGCCACCCAGGCGCCCCCTGACCCTTGAACTTAACAGGAGTTTAAACTTGAAGCATCTATTTACGTGTGGATTTTTTACAGCACTGTAAATGTATTTTGTATGATTTTCTTTTCTCTAGTTTATTGTTTGGATACATAAAACATACAAAGTATGTGTTAATCAACTATGTTATTGGTTAAGGCTTCTGGTCAATAATATGCTAATAGTAAAGTTTTTGAGGAGTCAAGAGTTATATGCAGATTTTCAACTGCACAGGGGGTCACTGCCCATAAGTCCCATGTTGGTGAAGAGTCAAATGTATACATATATTTTTTATATGCTACTTCAACTGTATTTAGTAATTTCTTTATTTTCTCCCATCTACTCATAAGGGTTCTCCCGTAAATTATCAACATTAGAACAGAATCCAAGCCAATTAGAAATAATACAAATCTGTAATTTTAACGGAAGAGATCCAATTTATGCTTACATATATTTTTTTAAAAATTTTAATAAAGGGGCGCCTGGGTGGCTCAGTCATTAAGGGTCTGCCTTTGGCTCAGGTCATGATCCCAGGGTCCTGGGATCAAGCCCCGCATCAGGCTCCCTGCTCAGTGGGGAGCCTGCTTCTCCCTCTCCCACTCCCCCTGCTTGTGTTCCTGCTCTTGCTGTCAAAAAACTAAATCTTTAAAAAATTTTTTAATAAATCCTATCACAACAAACACAAATCAATTGAAAGCAGCTAAAACTGTGTGAAAGCACTTCTCCCAAGTCTTTTTCACTAGTTTTTTCTTTTTAAACCCAACTCTTATATTCAAAAGACATCCTTAGGTACCTACAATGTGCCAGATGCTATTCTAGAATCAGGAAATACAGCAGTAAGCAAAACAAAAATACTGTTCTCCTGGGCACCTGGGTGGCTCAGTCGATTAAGTGTCTGCCTTTGGCTCAGGTCATGATCCCAGTATCCTGGGATGGAGTCCTGCATCCAGACTCCCTGCTCAGCGGGAGTTGGCTTCTCCCTCTCCCTCTGCCCCTCCCCTCACTCTCTCTCTCTCATGCTCTCTAAATAAAAATCTTAAAAAATAAAAATTAAAAAAAAATACTGTTCTCCTAAAAACTTATATTTCAGTGAGGGAAAATAGGCAAAATACACATGTCAAGTGGTTAACCATGCAGTGTAGAAAGGAATGGAGTGCTGGTGAAGGCAGGCTCATGGTGCCAGGCAAGGGCACTCTGATGGAAAACTTTTGAGCAGTCTGGTATGAAGTGAAGTATTTACTTGTAGCTATCTGGGGGAAGAATATCCCAATCAGGAGAACAGCAAGTATAAGCCTTTGACAAGACACGCAAGGTCTGGCATGTCTGAACAGCAAGGAAGACAAGGATGGTTCCAGCAGAATGAGCAAGGGGAAGAGCAGCCCTGGAGTCAGAAGTAGCCAGGGCCATATGCTACACAACCTTTGTGAATCCTGATACAGATTTCATCTGAATTGAAAAGCCACTGGGGAATCTTACGCAGGGGAGGGATGGGATCTCATAGAAAGATCACTTATGGTTACTGTATTTTCCAAAATGGTTATACCAAATTTCACTTAGCAGAGTATGAGAGCTCCCTTTGTCCCACTTGATACTGTCAGATTTCAAAGTTTGCTAATCTGGGGTGCCCGGGGGGGCTCAGCCGTTAAGCGTCTGCCTTTGGCTCAGGTCATGATCCAAGGGTCCTGGGATCGAGGCCCGCATCAGGCTCCCTGCTCGGCGGGAAGCCTGCCTCTCCTTCTCCCACTCTCCCTACTTGTGTTCCCTCTCTCACTGTCTCTGTCAAATAAAGAAAAGTGAGGGGGAAGGGGGCAGAGAATTCTGAAGCAGACTCCCCCACATTCTTACTGCTACTTCGCCCACATTCACTCCCACTACTTCGCCCACATTCACTCCCTTGCTATTCTTGCCTCTTTAACGTCACCTTCAGGCTTTAATAATCCAGTGCAGTATTTAAAATAAAGCACTCCAAAATTTAGCACCTTAAAACAAAAGCCGTATTTTCTGTTGGTCAAGACTTCATGGTTTCTCATAGTTTCTGTTGGTCGACTTCAAAAAGAGATCATTAAGTTCTTCTCACTGAGGGTTTTTTAAGAGGTCGACAGTCAAAGATAGAGGTTGGGGCTGCAGTCATCTGAAGGTTGGATTGGAACTGAAGAACACAACCAAGGTGGCTTAGTCACATGACTGACAAGTTGGTACTGGCTATAGCCTGGGAATCTTCTTCAGGCTGTGGGCATGTCCTAACACTACTACAGCTGGTTTCCCTCAGAGTAGGCATTGAAGCAATCAAGGTAAAGCCACAATGCCTTTGGTGACTTAGCCTTAAAGTCACACATCATCACTTTGTTTTTTTAAAAGATTTTATTTGACACGGGGTGGGGGGAGCAAGCACAAGCAGGGGGAGCAGCAGGGAGAGGAAGAAGCAGGCTCCCCGCTGAGAAGGGAACCCCGATCCCAGGACCCTGGGATCAGGAATGGAGCCAAAGGCAGCTGCTAAACCAACTGACTGAGCCACCCATGTGACCCATTATCACTTCTTTTACATTCTAAGTTCATACCAGGCCAGCATTAATTCAATGTGAGAGGGATTATAAGAAGGTGTGCATACCAGGGGGTGAGAATCCTTGTGGGCTATCTTGCAGATTGCCTATCACATTTCAACAGGCTAGGCATGGTCTGCCTCATGGACTTCACATTTACTGTTTCCTCCTGCTTAAAATGTTCCTCCCCCAAATATCCATATGGCTAACTCCCTCACTTTACATCTTTTAATCAAATACTGAGTAAGATCTGCCCTGGTCCCCTTTTCTAAAATATAAGGGAACTGTCATAGCCTCCCATCTAAAATGTAAACCTATCTATCCTTCATGTTACATCCCTTCCCTACTTTATTCCTAGCAAATGTTAGTATTTATCACTAACATACACATTTTAATGTATTTATCTAGTTTATTATTTGCTTCCATCTAGAATGTTGTCTCATGTGGGTAAGGATTTTTCTGTTTGTTTGAATAGTTTTATCTCCAGCACCCAGAGTAACACTTGGCATACCATAAAAGATCAATAAATATTTGTTGAATGAATAGTCAAATCAGTCTCTTCGTTATTTCAACTGCTCTTAAGCTTATAGAGAACATTTGCATAATTTAATCCTGAATACTTTGAAGGTTTGGTGTCTTAAGAATCATTTTTCTATGTACCTTTTTAAAGGTAATCATCAAAATAAGCATAGACTCTCTTATCGAATGCATACCTCCTTTCCTTTAAAAAAAAAAGATTTCATTTATTTATTTGAGAAAGGGCACAAGTAGGGGGAGTTGGCAGAGGGAGAGGGAGAAGCAGGCTCCCCACTGAGCAGGGAGTCCTATGCTGGGGGTGTGGGGGTGTGGGGTCCACATGATCCCAGGAACGCAGGATCACAAACAACCCCAGCCAAAGGCAGACACTTAACCAACTGAGCCACCCAGGCTCAAACTTCCAAAATCCAAAATTCCAATTTGTAATGAAAATCAATGAAGGGGGAGGAATTAAAAACAGGATATTTTACTTTCAAAGTTACCTTTTTTTTTAAAGATTCTATTTATTTATTCATGAGAGACAGAGAGAGAGGGAGGCAGAGGGAGAAGCAGGCTCCACACTGAGCAGGGAGCCCAATGTGGGGCTCGATCCCAGGACCCCAGGATCATGACCTGAGCCGAAGGCAGATGCTTAGCTAACTGAGCCACCTAGGCGCCCCTCAAAGTTACCTTCTTAAACTGAGAATTTTAAAAAACACATATATCAGACATTTTAATCAGACAGGTAAAAGAAAGTCTTCTCATTCAAATTAAACTATTAAACTGCTAAATGACTTTTACTGGCTTAAATTTTATATATTTTGAGTACTGTTCATTAAAAAAGCAAGGATTTATTTAAAATTTTAAAAAGTGCTAGGGGCACCTTGGTGGCTCAGTCGGTTAAGCAAACTCTTGACTTTGGCTCAGGCTGTGTGATCTTGGGGTGCTGGGATTGAGCCCAGCATCAGGCTCCGTGCTCAGTGGGGAGTCTGCTTCAGGGTTCTCTGCCCCTCTCTCTCCCTCACTTTCTCTCTCTCCAGAACAGATGAATCTCAAAAAAAAAATTAAATAAATAACAAAATGTGCTAGTAATATGAGGCTGTATTAGTATATGCAAATACTTTAACATACAACTATAGTATTTCCTTGAAATATTCTATATACATACTTGATAGCAATCCAGCCCACCACAACCATTCTTTAAGATATGCATGGCCACCTTGACCTGTGAATGAAAAAATATTTCACTTTTTTGGAAGATTAGACTCTTATAAATTTATGACAACTATTAGCAATGACAGATTTTGAAATATCTCATTTGTTGATTATTACTTTGAATAAAGGTTCCATCATGACTGTATAAGGGGATTTCTAAAATAATCTTTTTATGATTATCTTAGAAAAAGGGATGAGGATCATGATAATGTTAAAATTTTTAGGTGTGCACTATACTGTTCAGTATACTATACTGAAGGAATTAAATCAATCCTTATATTCGGTCTATACGTCACTCTTTTGTTTTGTGAACTCAGCTTCAATAACAGTAAAGAAAATGAACCAGTAAGAAGTAACCCAACTTCAAATAAATTAGTCTGAATGTGGATAAGCCATTATAGGTGTGGGTTAGTCCCACTTATGAGGCAGTAACCTTGGAGAAAGGGGTTTTATATTGACCATACATAAAAAGATTGAGCATTCATCAGTCGAGCTGCCAAGATGCTCATCTCCCTACTTGACTTTCCTCCCCCCAAAATTAATAAAATCAGGAATTAATTGGTACTTAAGCCATTGTCCAAAAGAAAAAGCCAATGCAAATTAACCCTCTGACAAGCATATCTATCATGGACAATGAGAGTACCTGCCTTAAGACAAGAATGAGGAATATACTTGTTCAAACAGCATATGCTAGTACTTTCTCCTCTGCCCACTAACCTCTAACAGAGGCTACTATTTTAAGATTGATTAGCTCTGGCCATAAAGATGGCACAGGAAAGAGGGAGAAAGTGATTTATTTTTTTACTGTCAAAGCAGGTCTTCCTATGAGGTCAGAACCAGGTCTAGAACTAAAGCAGAGGCTGAATAATGGAACATGACCAGAATGCAAAATAATGCTGTCATGAATGCACCAAATGAAGTCAGAGTGGGGTTTAATCATATTGAGTATCCCCCAAGGTCTCGTGACTCGTCAGTAGTTTCTGGGGAAATAACCTATACCACCCTTCAGAAAATCACGGAACAGAATACTCTTTAACCACAGTAAGCCTTCTCTTTCCTTCCTGCCAATTTGAGATCATCATGAAAAATGTCTTAAGGTAAAAGTAAAACTTCTATTATTCTAGACAAAAAATCCTAGCCTTCAGTAACATTCTGATTCTATTCATAAGCCCTTACTTCCTTCACTGCAGACATCAAAATTTAAAGATAAGGCTGGATGCCAATTGGGCCTTGGTCGCTATTTCCACTTTGATAATAATTGCAGGAGTTAATAGGTAGCTTATTTTGACATTGTCTCACTTTTAATTTTTCTCATTATAAAACTGATGTTTGATTCTCTATAAAGATTCACAAGGCTTGCATAGTTCAAAGTATGGAATATACTAACTAGGAATAAAGATATGGTTGTCTACCATCAAAGAACCCAAGTACACAAGCACACACATATGTCATTTTACAGTCACATAGGGCACAGCCTACCTGCTCTCATGGAGCCTTTCCTGGCAAGTCGCAGAAGACCTTTTTTTTTCAAAATGAAACTCCCGCCAATGAAAATGCTGGAGCTCATAGCCAATCCCAGACCAATGTAAAAGTCATATTTTCCACGCCCCTGGATCATTTCGTTTGTTACTAAAGAAGTTCTTGTGAGTCACATTGATCACAAAACAGAGAAACCACTGGTGCTGGAGGCAGGATTATGCAATCTTCAAATCTAAACAATGCAAAACAAAACGAGATTTTTTAATAGAATGATCATGATAGTCCATATGCAATTCAAAATTGTACTCTACTTCTCTTCTTATAAAGGAATATTTTCATTACTACCACTGATAATATATTTACTATTTATAATTTACCACCTATGTAAAATTATATTTCTTATAGTTATGGGAAAAGATGGGATCATGATATAAAGCCATACTTAAAAACCAAACTCACAGAATCAGAAAACAGACTGGTGGCTACCAGAGGCAGGGGTAGAGGTATGACAAAAATGGGTGACAGGGGTAGAGAGGTGACAGAAATGGGTGAAGGTGGCCAAAAGATATAGTTAAAAATAAGTTTGGGGATGTAATGTAGAGCATAGTGACTATAGTTAACAGTACTGTATTATATATTTGAAAATGGCTTAGAGAGATCTTAAAAGTTCTCATCACAAAAAAATAAATTTGTAATGTGTGATATTAACTGAAATTATTGTGGTGATCATTTTAAAATATATAAACATATAATCATTATGTTGCTTTCCTTAAGCTAATGCAATGTTATATGTCAAGGGCATCTGGGTGGCTCAGTTGTTTAAGCGACTGCCTTCCGCTCAGGTCATGATCCCGGAGTCCAGGTATCAAGTCCTGCATCGGGCTCCCTGCTTAGCAGGGTGTCTGCTTCTCCCTCTGACCCTCCCCGCTCTCATGCTCTCTCACTCTCTAATAAACTAATAAAAAATCTTTTTAAAAAAAGTTGTATGTCAAGAATAACTCAATAAAACTGAAAAAATAAAAATAAAACTACTTTTATATGCCAATACTAAATATAAAATTTAAATTTTAAATAAAATTTTAAATAAAATTTAAAATTTAAATTGGTTTTGTAAACTCTAGCTTCATATTTAAATATTCCGAGTCTTAGTTGACAGTCCCTAGTAACAAAACTTTGCTGTTAAGAAAAAAAATTCTACAGAATGAAAATCAGGCATGAAAATATACAAATCTAGTTTAATACATTTACCAATTTCACGTGTCCTTTTTGAATAATCTATACAGAGAAACTCGGAGTTTTCTCATGCATACACTTTCTCCTTAGAATCTATGTAGACAAACTCCTTCTATCAGCCAGCATTACCCTGATCCCAAAGCCAGGCAAAGACCCCATCAAAAAGGAGAATTACAGACCAATATCACTGATGAACATGGATGCCAAAATACTCAACAAGATCCTAGCCAAAAGGACCCAACAGTACATTAAAAGGATTATTCACCATACCCAGTGGGATTTATTCCTGGGATGCAAGGAGGGTGGTTCAACATTTGCAAATCAATCAATGTGATAGAGAACACATAGATAAGAAAAGAAAAGAACCACTGGATCCTCTCAATTGATGCAGAAAAAGCATTTGACAAAATACAACATCCTTTCCTGATTAAAACTCTTCAGAGTGTAGGGATAGAGGGAACATTCCTCAATATCATAAAAACCATCTATGAAAAGCCCACAGCAACTATCATTCTCAATAAGGAAAAGCTGAAGGTTTTTCCCTTAAGGTCAGCGACATGACAGGGATGCCCACTTTCACCACTATTGTTCAATATAGCACTAGAAGTCCTAGCATCAGCAATCAGACAACAAAAAGAAATAAAAGGCATCCAAATTGGCAAAGAAGAAGTCAAACTCTCTCTCTTCCCAGATGACATGATACTTCATGTGGAAAACCCAAAAGACGTGCCCAAATTACTAGAACTCATACAGCAATTCAGCAATGTGTCAGGATACAAAATCAATGCACAGAAATCAGTTGCTTTCTTATACACTAACAATGTAATGGTAGAAAGAGAAATTAAGGAACTAATTCCACTTACAACAGCACCAAAAACCGTAAGATACCTAGGAATAAACCTAACCAAAAAGTAAAAGATCTATACTCTAGTAACTACAGAACACTCATGAAAGAAGTTGAATAAGACACAAAAAGATGGAAAAACATTCCATGCTCATAGACTGGAAGAATAAACATTGTTAAAATGTCTATGCTACCCAGAGCAATCTACACTTTCAGTGCCATCCCTATTAAAATACCATTGGCATTTTTCAAGAAGCTGGAACAAATAATCCTAAAATTTGCATGGAACCAGAAAAGACCCCGAATCGCCAAGGGAATGTTGAAAAAGAAAAACAAAGCTGGGGGCATCACGTTGCCTGACTTCAAGCTATATTACAAGGCTGTGATCACCAAGACAGCATGATACTGGCACAAAAACAGACATATAGACCAATGGAACACAACAGAGAGCCCAGAAATGAACCCTCAACTCTATGGTCAACTAATCTTTGAAAAATCAGGAAAAAATACCCAATGGAAAAAAAAGTCTCTTCAATAAGTGGTGCTGGGAAAACTGGACAGCTACATACAGAAGAACGAAACTGAACCATTCTTACACCATACACAAAGATAAACTCAAAATGGATGAAAGACCTCATTGTGAGACAGGTATCCATCAAAATCCTAGAGGAGAACATAGGCAGTAACCTCTTTGACATCAGCCACAGTAACTTCTTTCAAGACACGTCTCCAAAGGGAAACAAAAGCAAGAATGAATTTTTGGGACTTCATCAAGATAAAAAGCTTCTGCACAGCAAGGAAACAGTCAACAAAACTAAGAGGCAACCCACAGAATGGGAGAAGATATTTGCAAGCCACATTACAGATAAAGGGTTGATATCCAAGATCCATAAAGAACTTCTCAAACTCAACACTCAAAAAACAAATAATCCAGTCAAAAAATGAGAAGACATGTACAGACACTTCTCCAAAGAAGACAAATGGCTAACAGACATATGAAAAAATGCCCAACATCATTGGCCATTGGGGAAATTCAAATCAAAACCACACTGAGATAGCACCTTACACCAGTTAGAATGGCAAAAATTAACAAGGCAGGAAACAACAAATGTTGGCAAGGATGTGGAGAAAGGGGAACCCTCTCACACTGTTGGTAGGAATGCAAGCTGGTATAGCCACTCTGGAAAACAGTATGGAGGTTCCTCAAGATGTTAAAAATAGAGCTACCCTACAACCCAGCAATTGCACTACTAGGTTTTTACCCCAAAGACACAGATGTAGTGAAAAGAAGGGCCATATGCACCCCAATATTCATAGCAGCAATGTCCACAATAGCCAAACTGTGGAAGGAGCCAAGACGCCCTTCAACAGATGAATAAAGATGTGGTCCATATATACGATGGAATATTATTCAGTCATCAGAAAGGATGAATACCCACCATTTGCAACGACATGGATGGAACTGGAGGGGATCACGCTAAGTGAAATAAGTCAAGCAGAGAAAGACAATTATCATATGGTTTCACTCATATTTGGAACACAAGGAATAGCATGGAAGACCATAGGGAAAACTGAAGGGGGAGAAATCAGAGAGGGAAACAAACCATGAGAGACTATGGACCCTGGGAAACAAACGGAGGGTTTCAGAGGGGAAAGGGGTGACAGGTATTAAGGGCATGGGTCATGATGAGCACTGGGTGTTATATGCAACTTATGAATCACTGAACACTATACAAAACTAATGATGTACTATACAGTGGCTAACTAAACATAATAAAAATAAATAAAAAATTCTCTTTCACTCATTAAATAAAAGAAATCTATGTAGATATAAGCAGATGGTAATTTATTTCTTATTTAGCCTATTTGGGGGTGTGCAGAGAAAAGACAGCTCTCATATCATTTTGTTAGCAGAGGATGATGATTCTAGCAGACAAATGTTTGCCAAGGTACAAGTGTGATACTGGTGGACTTTTCAGAGAACATGAGGACTACTGACCTAGAAGGCTCAAGCCACAAGACCAGACGGGGAGGCAGAGGCTTACCAAAGACTGCACATTTTTGTTTTCAAATGGCCAACTCATGAACTCTACTGCAAAGTGTAGAAAGCAGAGGTTTCTCTGCAACAAAGTTTATGATTGGTTATAACTAACTGTCAGCCCAACTTTCTGGTATTTTCAGTACCACTTTTTAACTACTGAGTTCCAGAACTAATCTGCAATTCAGTAGGATACTCACACATTAACCCTTGCTGACTAGCCAAGTTTTTCTATTCTTCAGGTTATTAGATTCTGGCCTTTAGCAAAAGCAACTTGCTATTCACCTAGCCCCTCAATTACTTTATCCATTTACTCAAACAGTATTTACCAAACAAATGCTGTGTGCACTAAACATTATGCTAAGCTCTATGGATAAAATAGTGATAGCTAAATTTTAGTCTTCAGTGGGGAGACAAAAGACAGTTAAATAATGGGTGATAATGTTCTGTAACAATGGAAAAAGTATTCCCACTGAGATGACATTGACAAGGAGGCCAGTGTTTAGATTTGCCCATTGAGTCAGGTTATGGTTCCTGGAATACTTCATAAGAACAGTCCTTCCCACCCCACTGATTTGGGGCATGGCCCCGTGGCTTACTTCGGCCAATAGGAGGTAGGTGTGACAGAAGTGCCAAAAGGCCAGTTCTGAGTCTAGATCTAAAGAGGACCTTTATATTTTTGCTTGCCCCTTGGCACCCTTCCATCACATGCAGAGCAAAACACAGTCATCCCTGCTGACCTAAAGACCTGTGAACACAATCATGAATGCTTATTGCTACATGCCACTGGGAGAGCTAACTTACACACCCGAACAGGCTTATTATGGGTAAATGTAAAACTCCCAACAGATTTTTGAAAAACCAAAACTTGTTTGCAGAAATGGGGATCACTGGTAAAGATGGGTGGTAGGCACACCCAAGGGTTGACTGTATTATTCTCTCTACTGTATGTACATGTATGTTTGGACATTTCCATATTAAGGAACTGCAGTGCCCAAGAACTGCAGGGATATCAGGACAGAACCCACTAACAAGGGGCACCTGGGTGGCTCAGTCCATTGGGTGGCCAACTCTTGGTCTTGACTCAGGTCTGATCTCAGGGTCATGAGTTCAGGCC